AAACGTCATCCTCGTGGTCTAAAAAACTGTTCACCGCAATGTTTTATACTCTAACTCTCATTCTCAAGATATTTTCCCAATTTATCTTCTTTTCTTCAATAATTACTTATAAATACTTATGTTAAACACAAGTAAATATAATGGCTATCAGGAGGGCAACCGGGCTGCGCACCATTTGGCTGCACTTCAGGCTTCTTATCTTCAGGTTTTTAGAAACCCATCACAGCTTCCGGTCCTTGTAAAACGGGCTTACTTGATGGATTTTTATGGAATTCCATCTTTCTGTTTTTAATTGGTTTGGTGTTTATTTTGTTTTTATTTGGTTGATTTATTTTTGGTGTGATTAGGAGGAATGCCTCTGTGGAAAGGTTTCTGGTCTAGTCCCCCTTTCCGGATGTATTTCTATTTTTCATCTATTTAATTTGGCATATGTTCCCCGACATTTGTCCCTCTTATTTTGGTGGACTGGCTACCGAGACAAAAAAAAATCAATATACACACACATTTAAATAGAATATCTCATTACTCCATAAAAAAATGCATTCATAAAAGCATAAATTCATGACAAAAAAGAAATAGTAATTAAGTCCAATACGTTATGCAACAAAAACATCATCCAAACAAAATAACACATTATAAGGATAGATCTAGACTAAACTAATTTCATCATCTTCAACTCTTCAAGACACGTCACTCAAGCTAAACTCGTCATCTTCATTAAAGTCATCATCAATAGTCAAACAAAATGAGGCTAGACTATCAAGTCCTTCACTTGAATGTATGGTTGAACCATATTCCATTGCAAGAGTTCAACTACAAACAGGTTGCACTTCTTCTCCATAGTCCGGCCATCTTAAAAGAATCACTAAGCATATATGAATGATTAAGGAAGGCAGTGGCGGCATGGATGGGATGAATGATGTTTTCATTTTGCCTCTTTTTCAATAGAACCTTTATGCGGCCATATTTTTCTTCATTCAAAGCACTCTTGTACTCAAGAGACTCTCTTGTCATCTCCAACGCTTGATATAAATACCCAGCGGTAGATCCATCACCATCAGTGGAAATTTGAATACGCCTAGACTTTTATATACTTTTAAGAGTCTACATTAAGAATGGTTTTACTTGGACTGTAATTTGCTGGTCTGGTTTGGTCTGAACTGGTTTGGTCTGTCTGGTCTCTTTGTATTTTTATAACTATCAAAGTCTGGTCTGGTATGGTCTGGTCTGGTCTGGTCTGGGGCGGATTACAGTCCAAGTAAAAACATCCTAAATACACCTAGACTTTTGTAGACTTTTAAAAGTCCACATTGAATACAACTAAACTTTTAAAATTCGTGGACTTTTAAAATGTTGCCACTAATTCCTAATACAATATCCCCCCAATAGAAAAGGTTATAGTTGTTTGATAAAAAGCTGATTATTTGATTTAGTTTTGTTTGGTATCACAAGCTTTTCTGACTACTAACTTTCTCCCAGATGCTACCCACTGTACCATCTCAAAAAAGATATTTTATTTTGTAAAAAGCGCTTACAAAATTTCATGTCAAACATACAAATAGAAACTTTTAGAGACTTTTTAAATAGTACGTACAAAAGCTAAAAGGCATGGTCTTATGCCTACCAAACATGCACATAGTGAGATGTACCAACATCGAGAAAGTCATACCATTAAAAGAAACTCTTATATAGGAAATAAATATGCAATTTCCTTTCATATATGATGCAAAAAGTATAAACATTTTCATATTTAGCAGAAAATAAATAACAGAATTCAATTCTTAAGCCCGATTATTCAATTGAGGGGAATTATGAATATTGTAGCCTCATAGATCAGAGATACACAACATTTCATTACAACAGTTTATGAAATCCATTATGAACAAAAAGAATAATTCTCAAATAATAATATAATATTGTGAAACAAAAGTGTCAAACAAACAACATTAGACTATCAATAAAATTTAAAAGAACAAAAAATCAGAGTTAAAACTCTAAACCACAATAACGAAAAAAAAAGAGAGGATATTATTGTCTAATGAGTTAGGGTTAAGGAGCTAGGTTAGATTGAAAGAAGATGAAGGGGAAATGAAAACCATGCTTTCTTTAATCGGCCCTATAACTTCAAGGTCATGGAAGCATCCGGGCGGTGATGGCTTCCAGGTCTGCGGTGCTCCCTATTCAATCGTGAGCAACCAACCATAGAGACAAATTAAATGACTTGTGATGACTATCAAATGGGGAGAAGGATTGAAATGAAAATGGAGGAAAAGGAAGAGGAGAAGGACATCAACCGGTCAGGGACCGATGAAAGAAGATGAAGTGCAAATTTAAGATTATTTCTATATTACGGTTAGGTAAGACTATTCTATCTGTAAAAAGATGAATCGTGTATAAATGTGACTAACACACATGAAAACGTAAATCGTGCATCTGAAAAAGTAATCTCATCTATCGTCAAATGTAAATCAAAATAAAACAAACTCAATATCTTAAAACCCACTAGAAACATATAAAAGAGATTTTTAAAAAAAAAATATTACAAAAAAATGTATGGATATAAAAACGCTACATGAAAAATAGTATATGAATATAAAATACAATATACTTATTTTATGTGGATTAATAAGCTTTTGTAACGAATTGGTAAACAAAAAGGTAAATTCAATTATAAATTAATTAGTTAAAGATAAAGAAAAGTTAAATCGCAATTAAATTTTTAGTAGTTTGGTGAACAAGGAGAAAAGAATTAAAGAAAATAAATTGAAAGAAAAAAATCACAAAATTGAAGGAAAAGGTAAAAAATTGTCGATAGTGCAACTAAGAAAATAACGTATTTGGGAATGCATTAAAAGGGAATGCATTATTCATTCATTTCCCTTATTTTTTATTCCATATATAGTTTTTTGGAGCATATTTAAGGCTTTTTGGGGGGCGACAATTTTTCTAACTTATTATAGTATCTGCTTTATGTTAAGATCAACATTTTTGAGCTGAGATGAGATTGGAACTTGTGATCTTTTTCTTAGGAGTGTTACAGTGTTACCATCAGACCACAAGGTACTTGGCTCTAGTTAAGACTATTTAAGATTAATTATTTGACATATTAATTTTTTTAAATTGTTGTATCACCGTACCCGTATTCGCATATCGGCACATCAGCGTATCCGCATGTGTGCAATTATGTCACTTTCTAATAATTGGTTTGGTTATGCATAAAGAACGATGCACCCTATCTTGAAGACATTCCAGAGGTAGCCGAGTAGCCGGGTAGTTGGTAATAAAAACTAGATTGAGTTCCAACCATAATATTGTCAATAGTTTTATTGTGAAAGGTCTAAGGTTGTTGATAATTTGATAGTAAGAAATTGAATTGCGATATACGGAGTATTCTTTCTGAAATTTTATTCAGAAAAAAAATCTGCTTTTCGATGTCTTTGATTTTGACCTTTTTATACGGAGTACATAACTATTATCTCCTCTCGTATATCAATATAATTCAACATACATTTTTTTTTAGAATACCTCAATTTCTTCTTCTTCTCTCCTCTTCCTCTAATACCACCTTCGAACTCCTGACATCATGGATAGGAGTCAACATACATTTTTTATACATTATGAATTACTCCGAATTAAAGGGAGAATTATATATATACATAGGGAGATTATCTCTGAATAATTAATTTCCCTTCCAATTATGCATTAAAGACATTTATGAGTTATAATATCTTCCTCCCTCATATGAATACAATCTCATATTCTTACTTAACGTCGTTCCAAAAAACTTTGTTATTTTCAAAATTTTGACCAATTAATTATAATCATTTATTCAAAATTATTTATAATAAAAAATTATATGAAAATGTCCTTTGTTAAAAGTACTTTAATAAGAATATAAAATTTATAACTTCTATAATATTATACTAATCAAAACCATGGTTCAAACTTTTTGAAATGACAAAGTTTTTTTAGGACGGAGGTATTATTATCATTCTTTATTTATTAAGCTCAAGTATTAAACATGATTCTATATTTCATCACTCTTGTAGTAATTATTATTATTATTTATACATAAAAGGAAGAATCATCTCTCAATAATTAATTTCCTTCCCAATTATGCATTAAAGACATTTATGATTTATAGTATCTTCCTCTCTCATATTAATACAATTCCATATTCTTACTCTCATTATTATTAATATCATTCTTTATTTATTAAGCTCTGCTAAAAAAAATAAGTTGTGCTAAACATGATTCTCTATTTCATCATTATTGTAGTTATAGAGAAAATTCTCAAAATAGAAGTAAAAACGTTTGAAAATTTCAAAATTAGGACTGCCATATTTTTATTCCTTAAATAGGAGTAATTACTGCCATGTTTAAAGCCTGGTACTGCCAAAACATGGCAGTAATTACTCTTATTTAGGGAATAAAAGCACAATAATCATATTTCAGAATACATAATCGCTTTTAGTCTTATTTAGAACAATTTCCCGTAGTAATATAGTCATTATAACTTATGTTCAATTTACACATAATTAACTATAAGATTATACTACAGTAACTATTAATTTCAATGATATTTTTTCAAACACTTCATATTTAAACTGGATATTTAAATTCGGCCTGTAAGAACTAATGATACGAAGAGAGAGGAGCGGTGATGAGAAAACCCTAATTGTCGCCTCCTCTTTTCTTCTATTCTTGTTTCTTTCAATATTTTTTACATCAATCATAGAAAAAATTTCATTCAATCCGTATTTTCAGTAATATCTATATGTTTATTTCATAGGATTGTCTAGAGATGTTATTATTCAATAGCAGAGTGTCACTTGCCAGATGTACATTTCCCGCTCGATCCGGGGTTCTTGTGTGCTAGTAAGTCGCTTCTTTCGTACAATGCAAAGGCTCTTGTTACAATCAATAATAATTCAATTATTTTCTCTCCAAAAAAAACTAAGGAGTAATTGATATTTGACAAATTTGGTGACTGGCGGTGCCTTCCACAACCGACACTATAACATCACCAAACAATTAATTTTCTCCTCCCAACTTTACACCACACTCATTGATCACATCCTCAACTCCCAAAGTGGCATTACAGGAGAGCGCTGCACACAAGAAGCATTGGTCAGCAGACAATGCACCTAAGAATTTGTTCTAAGGCGGTGGCTATCAACAAACAGAAGCTGTGAGTGATTGCTGGTAATGGTAATGGAAGTTACAAATCCACTGAAGAAAACTACATGGGTTCTTCCTCTAGTCTTAACCTCTTCGGTCATCATCTTCTTCTTGATACTCTTATCTGCAAATCCATTTCAAGGGGACCTGGCAAACACCCGTAAGGCTCCGGACTTGGTCGAACCCGAGCTGCGCCCGTCCGACACCCCGCCCAGCCCGAGAATACCCAGACTGGCCTACTTGATCTCTGGATCAAATGGGGATGGGGAGAGGCTGAAGAGGACATTGAAGGCTCTTTATCACCCACTGAACCAGTATGTGCTTCACCTGGACTTGGAAGCACCTGCTGAGGAGAGGGTTGAGCTGGTGAGGTTTGTAAGGAGTGAGGCTTTGTTTGTTGAGGTTGGGAATGTGAGAGTTGTTGAAAAATCTAACTTGGTCACTTACAGAGGCCCTACTATGGTCACTAACACTCTTCATGCTGCTGCTATTTTGCTCAAACATGGAGGTGATTGGGATTGGTTCATCAATTTGAGTGCCTCTGATTACCCTTTGATCACTCAAGATGGTATGTACTGTTTTTTTGGAACCTCATTCATGGATCAAATGCATAAATGTTATCTTAACTATTGATATTGTTGCATTTTGATACCTTAACTCTAAAATGAATCAAATCAGTACCATAACTAAACATGTTTCAATTGCCAACATTATTCAAATTTCTGGCCAAAAATATTATGGAGTACATGACAATCAAAATTTCATGTGTAGAATCCACCCTACAACAATGACATGGATAAAAGTAAAGTGAAGTGGATTTTACGCATAGAATTCCGGCCACCATGTATGATTTTTTGGCCTCAAATATGATAAATATTGTCATTTGAAACATTTATATAGGTACCGTTATGGTATTAGTTTGATTCATTTGAGTTAACGTATTAAAACGTAACATTACCAATACTTAAGATACTATTTTTGCATTTCATCCCTCATTCTTTCCTTGATTATTGGTACTTCCTTTTTTTTGGTAAAAATTATGGGTACTTTTTTATTATCAGTTACCGGGTATTATTTTGTTCTTTCTACTATTTTCTCTGTATTCTTGCGGGAGAAAGTAGAGATGAGATTACTCTGTTATTTCTGGATTTCAGCCTATTTCCCCCAATTTCTTTCATTTTGGGGATAAATGACCCTTGCATTGGCAGTGAACAAATAATGCTAGTTGTTGGGGAAAAAATCTTGTTGGAAAAATGTGTGAAAAATTTCATGAAATGGTAATTTTGGGGCAATTTTTTGAGTGGGGTCCACTTCCGATTTGGGTCGGGTCAAAGTGGTTTCGGATTGTCCTTGTTAAGGTCTACAATTCGATATATGGTAGGCTCAAAACGGATAACGGGTGAATGAGAAATCGCTTTTCGAAGTTTACCCGTTAGAATGGAAAAACTGGGAAAAAAAGATGGGTTTCTAGTGTGTTATTTCCCACACCGGAAAACCCAAGGGATTTGCAACCCTTTATAAAGGGACTTTCCCCTTAAGGAGTTAACATTCCTTAGGGTAAAGGGTTTCTTCACGCGCGCAGGGGTGCAAATCAAATCCCGAAATCGGAGAAGAAAAACCGCGACTTGCGTGCGCGGGCGACCTGCGGACACGAATGTCGTCCAAAAATCTATCTCTTCCCGAAACGTTGATTTTTTCCCGTTCATACAACTCACATTCATACACATTCCTCACGTATTTCTGAGCTCAAACATTAGTTCGTAGTCGTCGTATCCTGGGAAACGATTGTTGCAACGCTCCTAGCACCGTGGGAGGCAACAAATACGTTTTAAGGACATCGTGCGTAGCACGAGCTTTGACTAATTTCTGCTCCATCTTATTTCTGTTTTCTTTCGTCATTTTAATTAATTTATTTTAATTAATTTTCTTTATTTTCCGAAACACACCCAACAAAAACAAATCTATTATACTTAATAGTTACTATTTGCTGCATTACTTTTTATATTTCAATCAAAATAAAGACATATAAATGGAAAACATTTATAGCATTAATTAGTTTTGGAATTCCATTAGTTTTTGAACCACAATGTCAGCTTAATCAGTTATGTTACTGATTCTTGGAATTGTGGTACTTTGATTCATTGTCTGAAAGAAAAAATGTGACTCATGCATTGCAATTACCTTAAGTTTATTCCCACATCACTTACTTAGGGTCCTTTTGGAAAAACGAAAATGCTATGGAAAGAAAATTCGGAGGAACATGTAGGACAGTAGGAGAAATCATGAAGTAAAGAAATTGACGAGGAAAAGAAAATATCGTTTCAAACTCAGAGAGTTCATTTATAATATTTGTTTATATTTATTTTTATTCATTCATATGGATCTTATACATGCTAAGCAATATAAACACATAAATATACCATATAAATCAGTCATATTTCTATTTCCGTTGCATTTTTTAGGTAAATAAGAATATTTTCCGATTTGTGCGAGTCATCCTTGCGCAGGGTCCATGTTAATCTTCTCTGTATCTTCTCTATATTCAAAAAAGAATATTTTCCTAAGAAGTTTCTTTCAAATGTCTAGCATTGTATTGGATGTATATAAACATACCCTCAATACACCACATTGACTGAAAGATAAGCAATGTTCTTACCCATTTCAATTGTCTTATGCAGATATGCTTCACACTCTGTCTACCATTCCCAGGGATCTTAATTTTATCGACCATTCCAGTGACCTTGGATGGAAGGAGTACGTACCTCAATTTGCCCTTTGATAAAACTGATGCAATTTTTCTCGTAAGTTGAAATTTGAATTTGTCTGGCATGGGGTGGTTCATTTATAGATTGCATTATGCATTTTATAGGGAATATAGAGCCAAGCCTTTAATAGTTGATCCAGCTTTCTATAGCCAGAACAAATCAGATCTCATCTGGCTCGCAGAAAAAAGAAGTGTGCCATCTACCTATAAACTTTTCACAGGTGCATGTTTTTATCATTGTTTTCAATTGAATTACATTGAAGAGTTTATCTCAAACCAATTAAATATTACGTAGTAAATAACAAACTTATATAAAAACATAGAAGGGAAAACTGTCAAATAGGTCCTCGAACTTTCATAAAAAAGTCAATTAAGTCCTTCTATAGGAGACTCTGTCCGGTTGTCGCGATTTGGGGCGGTTCCTGGTGGAATTTTTTGATGAAATTTTTTGAGCATCTTATTCATCAAGTCTAGTTTACTCATACCAAATTTCAGCTAAAAATTTAATCGGGAGCGCATTCAAATTAATTCGAGAACGCAAAAATGCGCAGTTATCTTCAAGAATTAATTTGAATGTGTTCCCGATTGAATCAAGCTCATCGTTCTTTTTTATATTTGGCCAGTGTAGTTGAAGAAATATTTGCTACATTGTGAATTTGTGATAATTGAATTATTCATACTCGTTTTGTATTTTCTCCCAGGCTCAGCTTGGATGATGCTATCTCGACCCTTTGTAGAATACTGTATTTGGGGGTGGGACAACCTCCCAAGGATATTGTTGATGTATTACGCCAACTTTGTTTCGTCTCCTGAAGGGTATTTCCATACTGTGATATGCAATGCTGACAAATTCAAGAACACCACTGTGAACCATGACCTGCATTTCATATCGTGGGACGACCCCCCGCAACAGCACCCCCATTACATCACTTCCGGCGACTACCCAAAAATGGTGGAGAGCAATGCAGCATTTGCCAGAAAGTTTGACAGGAATGGCACGCTGCTTGATAAGATTGACTCTGAATTTCTGGGTCGCAAACCTGGTGGTTATGTGCCTGGTAGTTGGTTTGATGGAAGGGACACAAATACAAATGCATCAGTTTACACTACTGCAAATATAACGTTGTTGAGACCTGGGCCGGGTGCCAAGAGGCTCAATAATCTCATATCCGCGCTGTTGATGGACAAGGATTTTGACAATAAGCACTGCGTCTAGTGCCCGACAGAAGTAAGTTTATAAAGGACTATAGGCTTACTTGTCATTGAGCAATGTATCACTTTGATAATTGATTTATGCCCAAAAAAAAGGCACCAATGAAATAATCATGGCCTGGTTCTTGACCACACTTCTAGGAAGCATAAAGTAGGCACAGAAATATGTACAAGCTTTTTGTAATATCTTTCTACAATAGAGCTAATGTAAACGGATTTTTCCGTTTAACATTGCTGTTATATACTACGTATTACAGTACAGACTGCATCTGTAAAAATATATATCATGGTACTTTCTGTTGGAAAATAAAAGGTTAGAAATTCAATTTTGTTTACTAATAAAATTGCAAAACAGGCCTTGACAGGAAGCTATAATGGCATCTATTCTGTGAGAAGATGTTAGTTGTTAGCTGGTTATGACAGCTGATTGGAAATAGCTGGTTGTGTTAGCTATATTGGTTGGCTGGTTATGCTAGCTGGTTGTCAGCAAATGTTTGGTAAATTAGTTGTTTAAGAATAACTGTTTCCGTATAAAAAGACACATATGGACATTAGTATTTAATTTTATATAAATCATACATTCTACGTATTTTAGAAATTTTAGGGAATTCGCAAATTTTTAGAATATGCGGACTTTGTTTGATAATTTATATCAATTTTAGAATATACGTGTTTTTTTAATGAACTCACTTTTAGTGTTAGAAATTGATATATACACTAGGTTACCTATAATTACAAAATCATATTATAATAATACAAAGCCCCAATAAAATATATCATCCGATAAGTATTAACATCAATTAACGGCACGTTCATTCTACTAATGAAAAGGGAATATTCATATTAGCCATTTTTAATACTTTGTAATAATTAATTAAAGTCAATTTATATACTAGAATGAAGCCGATAAACAAATTATATAAACATGTGAACAAATAAATAAAGACTAACCAAAACTCTAAAAGCCTACCATTCAAAAACAACGGGGTAGAAGAGTAGATAGAAAGCTTCACACCCAATTGCTCAAAACGTGAGCAGTGAGCACTAAAAAATACTCCCTCCGTCCCTAAATAAACTTTCAATTTTACTTTTTCGTCCGTCCCAATTAAAATTTCCACTTTCCCTTTTTGGTAAAGAATTTGTGCTTCACAATATTTCTTACACATTTCTTTCTCCTCTGCACAACTCTCCACCACACAATACCCACTATCTTAAACTGTGTGTCAAACCTATTTGGAAGTTTATTTAGGGACGGAGGGAGTAAAAAATTTAAGTGGCGGCAAATATTAAGTAGAAGGGGTACAATTGAATTTAATCAATCAGCCGGTTGGAAACGCTGCCATGCCCAGTGTTAATGATTTCGGATTCTTGTGCTCAAGCAGCCGAGGGAATAAACCGTTAACCCAACAATAAAATGGCTTATTGGAACAGTCAAATCAGCTAACTTTGGTCAAAGAAGCTGAAAATTGGCTGATAAGCTGTTTACCAAAAGGAGTCGATGTCTTTGTGTTGGCCTTCGTTGTGATGATAATTTGCATAAACATTGATTATGAACAGCATTGGGAAATCCTTTGATTGCAATCTTCTACATACATTTCTCATATAATAAATGCTTCTGTGTGTGCCTCAGGAATGAGTCCACACTCTTCAATTTTAATAATGTTAGATTAGATGGATTTAGTTGTGCATAAGGCCTGGTGCAGTATTAGGAGTCCAAAATGTCAAAGATGGAATTTTTGGACTTAATTTCATGTAGTGGTAGTCCAAATAGGGTATTAAAAGTGGAAGAGGGGATGGAGGGTGTTAGAAATATAGGGTGGGTTGGTAGGAGTGGAAAAAAGAAAAAGAAAAGAAATAGGGAAGAGAATGGCCGAGAATGCATTGTATGGATGTGAGGATGATGTCATCCCTACATCATTATAATCCAATTTTTTTAAAAACTTTTATAACTTTTTTATTTGTTCTCCAATTTTTTCAAAAAATATATCAAAATCTACGAATTTTTATTATCTTTCACATGACACCAATATGTAATATATAAAATGAAAAAAAATCTTAAGTTTTAACTATTGGAGTTTTCTTGAGCCTGAAAAATACAAAACACAAATTTTTAATTCATGGAACCTCTACAAATAACTGAATATTCCATAATAAAAATTTACTTGGACTAAATTCATTTTTTTAACCGAAAAACGTAAAAAAAAAATAATGAAATTTATTTATTTTTACATCAGAATATGTATTTTTTATTTCATAATTATTTAGGGAAAAAATTAAATTGAAAATATTACTTATAATAATGTAATTAATGTTTTACTAAATTAATAAGTGAAAAAATATGTAGAGTGTATTTTATGGACGGTGCTGGAATGTAAGGAATAAGAGTCTAAATACTGTTTTCATATGGACGGAGTCCATTTTTAACTTTTTAGCCTCCTAACCACTACAAATGGTCTAATGGGCTATTATTATATATGGGCCCAATTCTGTATGTGTTGTAGTTTGGAGAGCATCTGGTACCATTCTGGTTAGGTAGATTCTATGGTACCATTCTGATTATATGAGTGGCATTTTATGTACTGAATAAATATAACTTAAATCCAAAGAATCCAAATTAATAAATAAAATTCAAATCCATAAAATCCAAAGAAGAAGAGTACATGACCAGAAATTTGAGGTGGAATAGAGGAGGAGGAGGAGGAGGAGGAGGAGGAGGAGGAGGAGGAGGAGGAAGAGATTACCTATCTGGTCGCCGATGAGTGCAGGGCTGGTAGCCGATGATGCAGGGCTACGACCCACGGGGCTGAGGTGCTCTGGAGGTATCGATGGAGGTATCGCTGGTGTGCATCGCTGCTTTTTAACTAAGGGTAGTTTTGTCAGATTACATCTTTTTAGTCCTATTTTTGTTAAATAAAACATAGTAGTCATAGTTTTGCAATTCTACCTTGTTTTAGTCCTATTTAGGTAAATCTCTCTTTTTAATTACATCCACTTACTTTTACTTAATTTGAAGTGGTTATTAATGAAGTGGCACGGTTATTAATGAAGTCGTTGAAAAAGTAAAAATTATGATTGAGATTTGAGTATAATAAAGTGAAATGGCGTAGGCCACATATTTCTTTCCAAAAAGGATATAAACACTTATTTTGAGACAACCGAAAAAGGAAAGTAAAGGACAGGTAAAATGAGATGGAGAGAGTAATAATAATTAAGCCAGGTTCCCCAGCCCTCGCTCAGACGCTCTATAGAGGAAAAAGAATGTTAATGAACCCAATTATTGAACGGAAGTGCTTGGTGCGGGCACCTTCAAAATTACTTGGTGTGTCGTTTTTATTCTGGAGTAATTTGTCCTCACAGTCTTGCTCATGAAACTTAAGAAGCACATCCATTGTAATAATGTAACTAGTATAGTACCCGTGCGATGCACAGGGATTATATATGATTGAAATGGAATTCATATTTAAAATTAAAAATGAGATTTTAAAAAAATAAAGAAAAATACTAAATAATGTCACCCAATATACATACGGAGTATATAATTAAACCTGCACATCATATTATTAATAAAACACTAGTAAATGCTCCCCGGCATTTACCCCTCTTATTTTGGTGATTGGTCTTCCGGGATAAAAAAACATGCACAATCGATCAATACTTATATATGCACAATCACTACAGGTTAATAATATACGAAGTATGTATATACGGAGTGGATGACAACAATATACCGAGTATATCCAAAATGATCAATTTTTTATTTAGAAATATATTTCACCACCAATATTACTGAAAATTATATTTATAAAATTGAAGCATTGCCACATTATACCATATAATATGAGAAAGGGATGGACATAATATATCAATTTAATCTCGCTCTTAGTCTTAAACTTTGAGAAATGTCTTCATCTCGTCTCCAACCTCCTACACAGAATGTCCATTTATATTTTCCACAACAAAAAAAATAGATAGTCTTTGGGTTCCATCTCCATTTTTAAACCTCCATTTTGTAGCTAAAACTATCCTCAAATTAAATGGTAATATTCCAATATTACATTCTTTTTATTGGATTTCATTCGAGACTTAGCGAAATACGGAGTAGAAATTAAGACGCGTCCTTATTCTATCGGATCTTTATTGTTTCCTCCAGTTCTACTTGTATTGCTTTCCAAATGGTGAAATTACTTTTTAGTCATTCTATTCGTGTAATTGAATCTAGAATTTCGTTTTTGTAGGAATGACAAATAAAGTTTTAATACTCCTTACAATCGAACTACAATGCAGGTTATGCAGGAATGATAATTTCATTAGTTTTAATACTCCTTAGCTTACAAATTGAACATATTATCTGATTGCTATGTTAATGAATCCAATTATTGAACGGAAGTGCTTGGTGCGGGCACCTTCAAAATTACTTGGCGACTTGGTGTCTCGTTTTTATTCTGGAGTGATTTGTCCTCACAGTCTTGCTCATGAAACTTAAGAAGCACGTCCATTGTAATAATTTATATAGAACTCGTTCGATGCACAAGAATTATATATGATTGAAATGGAATTCATATTTAAAATTAAAAATGAGATTTTAAAAAAATAAAGAAAAACACTAAATAATGTCACCCAATATACATACCGAGTATATAATTAAACCTGCACATCATACTATTAATAAAACACTGGTAAATGCTCTCCGGCATTTACCCCTCTGATTTTGGTGATTGGCCTCCCGGGATAAAAAAAATCATGCACAATCGATCAATACTTATATAGAGAAATCATCATGTCAGGCCGGCCAGACCGGGAGAGCCGTCCGGCCGAGCCCTTTTGGCGACCTTTCCGGTGGAATTTTTTGATGAAATTTTTTGAGCATGTTCCTCATCAAGTCTAGTTTGTCCATACCAAATTTCAGCTCAAAATTCGATCGGGAAGGCATTCAAATCTTTTTTTGAAGTTGACTGCGTGTTTATATGTATATTTTGACGCAGTCAACTTCAAAAAAAGATTTGAATGCCTTCCTGATCGAATTTTGAGCTGAAATTTGGTATGGACAAATTAGACTTGATTATGAACATGCTCAAAAAAATTCATCAAAAAATTCCACCGGGAAGGTGCCCAAACGGGCTCGGCTGGACGGAGGTTCCCGTCAGGCCGGCCTGACAAGAAGAGTTCTCTACTTATATATGCACAATCACTACAGGTTAATAATATACGAAGTATGTATATACGGAGTGGATGACAACAATATACGGAGTATATCCAAAATGATCAATTTTTTATTTGGAAATATAGTTCACCACCAATATTAC